TTCCGCAAACAAATAGCTTCTTCATGTCCATCAACTGGCAAACAAATACAACAAAAAAAAAGCTGAAAGTGGACCATCCATTCTCGAGTTATGCGCCATCTGACGTACGCAAGTTTGGTATAAACATAGAAATATTTATTTTTAATAACAATAGGGGGTTATATTCGATGTAAATAAGCTTGTTTAAATTAAATAATTAAATCAAATTCGTTTTTGTTTTAAAATACCACCATTCACTATTATCCACACGTTTTTATAGAATTTAGCTCCCATTTTAGGAAGTGTGATTGAATTCTTCCCCTTTTTCTTCTGCTTCCAAAAACCATCCCTGTGGGTGGGAGTGCCAAATTTTAGAAAAAAGCTACTTACAAAACCTTTAATAATTGAATCATGCTACATACCTGTATATTTCACAAAGTTCAATATTACATTATCGGTTTTACGATTCAGTCTCAATCTTTTTTTAGAAGCAGTAGCGGCAATTGTATTCAATTAAAATCCTTGCAAATATGCTCATCAAAGCTATTTGATTTCGGTTTATTTGTTTTGAATTTGTTTTTAATAACCACGATTCAAACACAAAAATGGTATTTATCTGCTCATATCAATAGAAAGTTCGCTGGCGTTCGAAATTTGCATTAAATAATTGGTTTATAAATTTATTTACGCATAAACTCGAAATTGTTTTACATAAGTTTATGTTGTTTACTGTTTACATTCTTTTAATTTTTTCACGGCGAGTTTATCGTTGATATTAAAAGATTGTTTTAAGCTTTTTTTATTTTTATTTTTTTGCTGGTAAATTTGTGTATGTACGTATATCTTTGTACATTTGTCGTATTTATTTATTTTATTAGATAGTTATTTTATAAGACACGCGTACATATGTATATACATACATTATAAGTGTGTACATATATACATACATATGTATGGATATAGTACATACGATTAAGCACAATCTGTACACATGGGAGATATTTTATTCTCTGTACAATAACAACACAGCACACTTGTTACATAAACTGACCAACCGACTAATCAACCAACCGAGCGAGCAATCAATCGCGGAAAAGAATGGAGTTGAACAGCGCACCAAGTCACGTTGTATCCCAGTTTGTCACAGAATTTAAGAGAGCGCAAGAATAATATATCATTAACTATTATGGCGGCTGCAAGTCGTACGCACAGCTTTAGTATATCAAATTCGGTTTCGACGAAGTACAGGAAGAAATTAATTTAGTTAGAACTGGAGTGAGGCAGCGCAGAGCGCTTTAGTTATGCGACAATCAACTAGGTATATGTAGAACAAGCAAAATCAGAGCAAGTAATTTTTAAGGACACTTGTTCGCACTCTTCTTTTACTATAGAAGACTTTGCAATTGTAGTTTCTTATTTAAAAATTCATACAAATGGAACGACGCAAAATACCTATATATACATATATATACATAATGCATTTAAGCAAAGAGCCATTAGTAATTGGTCTATGCGATTCAATAGCTATGAAAATAGGCACGCACAGAACGGAAAAAGTACAATAAATGTTGAAAGAAAAAAACTCAACGGCAATTTGCAAATCACTCTCTCTCTCTATGGTGGTGTTGGTGATTAATGGTTTTTCCTGGATTTATGGAAATCTTTTTTTAAGGAGGAAGATTTCATTATACATCCAATTCAATAACTTTTAAAACACCTGCAACCATTTATATATGTACTACATACGTACATATGTACATATACACATATGTGAAGGTACACGTCTGATGTCTATTCATCTACTCTACGCACGCAGCTTATGCTCGATTCCTCACTAGTTCGTCACTTTTTAATTGGAAACGAAGCCTCGGGGGAAACTCTTGAAACCTAATTAAGCACCAATTTGTAATCTTAATTTTATTATTGTTGCATTGCATTTCCACACATAAGAATCACTTTTATTTAAATTTAAATTTTTATTTTAAACAGAATGTACAGGTTCAAATTCACGGTCTATGTTTCCTCTTCCATATTAAAATCCAATCAGATTTTATTTACCAACTTTGCTTACGCCTTATGGAATTTTTTCACTTCGACTGATTTGATTTTCGATTTAGCTATTCTCCTTTTCTTTTTCCACTTCCTATTCTTCCATATCTAATTTCCTTTTACTTCACTCACGTTCCATCGCCGTTGTTGCCATACAAAATTTAAAGTGTTTTTATTACTTTTGTTTTAATTTATTGCTTTTATTAATTATATAATGCACCTGCATGAACCAGCTAATTTCCTTGAAAGAGTGTAGCTTACGTATGAAATAGAAGTATACGTTTTACTGCAATATGTTTATTTGTATATGCTTATAAGGCATATTTAAATGATGAAAGCGTAAATTGTTTTTAAATTCGATGCTTACATAAAACTCATAGTAGTTTTATTTTAACTTCGATCCTTTTTCACTTAAAATTTCGTCGATATTTCGATTGAAATTACTTACTTTTCATACTTTTCTACTACCATTTTCGCACCAAGGAATGTCATTTTCCTTTCTCCTTCCTTCGCAAATGCAACCTTTTGTAAGGAAGTGTCAAACCGCAACTGTCAATAATTATCCATGATGCAACAAGCCTTAGGTGAAACAGTGTTATNCCTTTTGTAAGGAAGTGTCAAACCGCAACTGTCAATAATTATCCATGATGAAACAAGCCCTTTAACAATTCTTTGCCTAATAATATAGTTGAATGTTTTTTATTTTTTCTCAGTATACACATTTTGTTTTCTTGAAAAGGTATTTTATCTTATTTTATTTAATTTCATTACGAATATACTATAAAAAAGCAAATTTTGTATAGGAGAAAATGTGAAATTTTATATTTTTCGCCCAAATGCGGATTAATTTCTTCCCATTTTTCTTCTCATTCTACTGAGTTAAGGGAGTGTCAAATCGAGCTGTCCCAACTGATACCACCTTGTATTATTGCATCATGATAATTATCCAACCATTTTTGTTTACTTTGTTCATTTGGCATTTCTACTCTTCGCAAAAATAATCGATAAAACTAGGTTGGACAGCGAAAATTTATCGGTTTAATCTGAGATTATTTTATAATTACATATGAAAGCGAAGCGCACATAACCGCGATTCTGACATTGTGAATCCGCAGAGCCAAAATTTACAACAATGCTACCCATATATTTTAACGAGCTAGAGCACGTTTGCACGATTCCCTCGCTGCGAATTTTTCGAACACTCAATGTTCCTCTCTTTTGACGCGTTCGAAACTAAGCTTACAGCCTTTTCACTAAATTCACAGTTTAACACGTTTTCTTTATTAATTGTTGTTACAAATCATATTTTCAATCATGTTTCAACCAATTAAAACACGTTTCCTATCGAAAAATGGAATATTAAGATAATTGACTTCCGAAATTTTCTTTTATCCTCTTCGGTTTTGTTTACTTTTACCCTAGAAATCACATCACTACCGGGATTGCGCAATCTTGTATTCTATCATTTTTGATGTAAACCTAGTATTAATCCCTCTGAATATCAAAAAAGCGACCCTGCGTGTATGAATTGACATTGGAGTGATTTTTTTCACCTCTTCTTTATGTTTATTTTATTGTTGCACTAATTGCGTTTATCAGCATCTGTAGGAGAATTCCAAGATATATACTTAAGAAATTATTTGTCTTATTTGTCACAATTATTGGTAATAATAATAAATTTAAAAGTGCGTATATGCGTTTGGAAGTTTAATTAGCAAATCATTTGTGAACAACAGTACGCAACCCAAAAGGTAATAAACAACACAATATATATGTATACGTGCGTTGGTAACCTACAGACAAAGAGAAGATCAGAGGACAAAGGTGTTAGATTTAGGTTGATCAGTGGGTCTAGGTCTATTTTGTTCACTACTCGGACAAGGAATTTTAATGCAATTTGACTAATTCGCGAATAAATTTCTTCCATATGCACTTAGTTTAGCTCTGCGGTATAGTATTACCAAGATGGATATAAGCGAGAGCTTCGATCAGCAACAACAGCAGAACCAACAATCTGATAGTTTGCAACAGCAGCCACAACAACATCAACAACTGCAAATGCAATGTGAACCAGCTTTTCAGACACAGTTTGGGGGAACTTTAACCACGCCCTTGTCTGTACCTTTCTCTTCACCAGCAACAAATGGGTTTGAACCTTCAACGATAAATCCATCATCATCGCCTCCCTTTGTGTCATCTGGGCAAGCTATACCTCTGCCGGCACCGCCGCAAATGAAATTACCACTAATGGGGCAACCATCATCACAACCACAAGGAATGGAACAACAGCATTACCTTCTACAACAGCAGCATCTTCTTAGAAATGAAGTTGATATTGACTCTTTACTTCTACAACAATTTAGCTGTTTGGGCACAACTGATCATGAGGATTTGGTAAGGCAATTTCAAAGTCTGATGAACAACCAAGTAGATCAAGATGCAGCGAAATTTTATTTGGAAATGAGCAACTGGTAAGATCTTATTTACGATTAAACTTTAACTTCCTTTTCTTAAATTCTATTTGTATTTATTAAGGAATCTGCAAACTGCAGTCGGTTGCTACTTGGATATTCACACTTTTCAAACGCTGCCTTCGATGAAGATTGTGCGCCAATCTCGTCCAAGTGAACATCAGCAAGCGTTTAGATTACAAAATGATGGCACCATCGACTGGCCCAATGGATGCTACCTAACGGCGCCTAGTCAAAAGCAGCGCATTGAAGTGCCTGCTTTAAAGCCAGGAGAAACTTGTGATATTTTAGCCGATATTCCTCCAACACAGCCAGCGATTATGTGGAGATTATGTACACCGAACGGCTGGAACGTGGGAGGTAGCTATTACGCTTATTTATAAAAAAAAACAATAGAATTCAGAGTACTTGTATTTTCTACGAGGATGAGTAAATATATCGTCATCATTGATGTAAAAGATTCTAAATTGCAGCTAGGTACATTAAATTTGTATAGCATGTACTTGCATGGTTGTTCTTAGAATGCTATTAAATCTCTTTGTTGCGCAGTTGTGTTTCTATCCACATACACATATATGTATGTTCATATGTATATAAGAGAAAACTATTACAAGGTACAATTCCAAATATACATACTTCTGTAGGTCGTTTAGTAACTTTTGCATTGATAATGACGATCAGTGAATTTGTTTTAAAATTAAGTTGCGAAATTATTTCTTACAGTTGTAAGCTAATTAGAGGCAATTAATTTCTTATTTCGTATATAGAACCTATTTGGATGGTTCCCCCAGGTATGGCGGATACACAAGCTGAACTTTCCGACCGAATGTCGCAGTTATTGATGTCGACAGATGCGTCCAACAGCGACAGTTGTCCACAAGTGAATGTTGTGATATCCGTTAACATGGAATGAAACAAGCGTGTAATGAGGCGAATGCGACGTGAGGGAGAGTGTTAATTTACATAATTAAAATACAATTTCTTTGTTTCCCATTTAAACAAAGTTCTTTGTAATATTCGTTATTTTCTCTTTTTCCATTATATATTAACACACCCACATACATATATGTATTTCTTTTACTATATTACAAACAAAAAATTACATTGGTACTAATAAATTTAGAAATGGTTTGAATATTTTATAAAGCTGTAGGGCATTAAGAAAAAAATATGATTATGCATTCATACATATGTAGCTATACACACGTATATGAGCGTTTATCTATTTATTGCCCAGAAATAACCCTATCTGTTAACTAATACGTTATATACGCCTAGTACTACAAACAGTTTTTGTANATGTAGCTATACACACGTATATGAGCGTTTATCTATTTATTGCCCAGAAAGAACCCTATCTGTTAACTAATACGTTATATACGCCTAGTACTACAAACAGTTTTTGTAAGATATTCAAAAACCTTCCATCATTTTACATAGGGCTCCTGGAGAAATCATTGCATATGGATATCGCTAATATGCAAATGTGTTGGCTTTTATTGACAATTTTGTAAGTGTATTGGAGAATGCGTTAGGTCGTTCTTGCTGGGTGCTTAGAGATACATATACATATGTACATATGTACATACATATATATGTATGTACATATATTATTTAATGTTTACGAACCGAGAAAAGTAAATGTATGGAAATTATTTTGTACTATTTAGTTTGAAATTTAATAAAGAGTGAAGTTCATAAACCATTTGTTTTTTTGTAATTTAACACAACAAATAAAAAATAAGATAACGCACAAAAACAGCTGATTTTGTCAATTTGGCAAAAAACAAACAAACGTTATCAGGGCACATTAAATTCGCCTCAAGATCCGTTTATAATTTTCTATTGACAGATAAGGCTGTTCCTGTTCTTTTAAGTCAAANCGTTATCAGGGCACATTAAATTCGCCTCAAGATCCGTTTATAATTTTCTAGTGACAGATAGGGCTGTTCCTGTTCTTTTAAGTCAAACTCAAGGCGCAGCCATACAAGGTGGTGGCAATTGCATATAAGTAAAAGTCCCGTGTATTTGGTTATTGCTTTTTCGTACATCAGGATGTCAAAACGAAAGAAAATAGGAGATAATTTCGTCTTGGATGACATTCTCTTGTACTAGTGGAGAGACAAAAATATCTAATCAGCTATTCAATCAACACCACCTTGTATTGATGCGCCTTGGTCAAACTCGTACAAATTTAAGATGTCGCTTCTCCCAGCGTTTAGTCGTTCCAAATGTGTTTCCAGCATTACAAAATATTGCCCGGTGAAATATGCAACATTTTACAGGGTGCCTTCACATGCTTGCAAATCTCGCACGCTTGTTTTTCTCGCAAGCGAAACGGCGCGTTTACATTAGACAATGCTGTCAAGGCAATAAAGAAATCTGTATTAGTTGTCGAAAAAGCTGATAATAGTCTCCGTGGTGTAGGTGTCCTGACAATAGTTATGAAAATTAATTTTGAGTAAAATGTCGGACGTGAGCTTTGTATTATAATACGCATTTCGCGCGAGCTATTTAAGCTAAAAACTAAAAAATAATAAAGAAGAGACAAAATTGAAACATACACGTCAGCGTCTCTTGTGTTATTTAATTTTAGTTCTTTTGTTATGAATTTCTCTTCTTTCTTGCACAAGACGTTAATTGACGTTATTGTCTGATTTACTGTGTTGAAAATAATCAATCCAGGGATTAAGGCAATTAGAAAAGTATGCATGCATTAGTGAAAAAGACGAACGTTCGAGCTTTTCAGGCCAAATTTGTATTTTCCATGCGTCGTCACGCAAGCGAGATTTTCCAGCAAGTGAAGACGGCCGGTTACGGTGCTTACATGAGGCGACTTTACAGTATTACCCCCCGATTCTAACAAAGTCATAAAACTCAGCGCATCACTACTGTGCTAAGTCAGCTTTCAGACACGTCAAATCTTGCTTTCAAGTCTGCGCTTTCCATGGCGAAGGAGGTGAGAAGAGAGGGAAGAGTACAGATAGCTCCGTACCGTCAATTCAATTGCAAGTTTTCTTGTCTCTTTGGATGTTTTCGTTGGTTCCTATTTAATGAACCAAGAACTTGAATTCAATAAAAGTTGACGCGTATGGAAGAAAATAGAAAAAAAGAGAATGCGAAAAAATTGCTTTCAAGACTTTACGTTTCTGAAAGGCGACTAATTTCGATAGGTTTTGGTTGGTCGTGGTAGAAAATTTTGGTAGGAAAAAAATGTGTTCATGGCAACACTGGTTTGAAACCGGCACCTTTTTAATTGAGCTACGTATGTCAGTGGCGAAAATACATCGATGTTTTTCTTTGATTCGATGATATGAAATATACATTGATATTTTTCGAGGCATGGAAGGGCATACATCAATGCATCGATTTGCATAGGATTTTTCAGATAATGCTTCACAGCAAAATATGTTATTCGCAAAATTGTAGAAAATTTGAAATCAATTACTGAGCTAATTATATTTCTAACAGAAACTTTTGGAGCCATTTAAATAACTTGGTCAAAGTCATTTTTTATACAATTGAAAAACTGGAATAATACGACGTTTCCACGTTTCGTAATATGCTCTCTCTTAGTAATTCGCTCTCCCAATCGTCATTCGCCATCCAATTACCCTTCGAACTACGTAATTCGCCATACAAAATTGTGAGAGCGAATTACCATGCGAATGACGAACGAATCGGTGCATGCTCTAATATTTATCGGAAATATATTGAAGTTTTCACGGCCCGGTTCCATTTGCTGGCACTTTTTCTAGCTGCAGGAAAATTAATAAAACATTCTCTATATAAATTAAAATCTTTTGTAATACCTGGAATTTTTGCTCCATCTTCCATATTTGCAGTACACAAAAATAATAATAAATAGCGAAGAACAAGAAGTAGAGCTGCCAAACGAATTACGAATGTGTGTGTGTTGTGGAAACAGGATAATTCACGAATTACTTAGAGAATTACTAATGCTACGCGCACACTGCAGCCGGCATCGGCAGAATTGTGCTCGGCCGATATCAGCTATATGCGGACGATATGAATACACTTGTGATTATATGAGCACTCTCAAACATAAACCGATAACCGAACCGACATCGGCCGTTGACGTGCGTCAGTGACCATAAATTCAAACATGTTTGTTTTTCTCGTCCGATGTCAGGTGAAAAGTACCAAAATGGACTGCGAAAAATTAACATATTGGGTGCAAAAACAAAACAATTACACATAAAATCACATGTTTAGAGTATGTCAATTCAAATGTATCAAAATATTTCGCTGCTTACAAAATTGTAATGAAAACTAGATTTGTTTGTGCGATCGGCAAATAATCTGGTTAAGTGTGCGTATCAGGTCGGACGGTCAAATTGTTCGGCCGAAATCGGTCGGCCTATCGGATGCAATGTGCGCCTAGCGTTAGAGAGCGAATTACGAATCGAGGAAACATCGTATAACGGTTCAATGTACTAGAGATGTCAGTTTTAATAAAACATCGATGTATCGAAGCAAAACATCGATATTTTCGATGGATCGATGTCTTTCCGTCATTCCTAAATTGTGCCATGATTGGCGTAGCACAGTTCATTATTTTTATAATTTTGTTTTGCTCTCCTGATAAAGGTTAGTGAATTATTGATAAGAATCAAAATTATTTGAAATCGCTGGGAAGTATCCTATTGTGCTAAGTTAGTGAAACGAGTGGCTATTAAATAGTGGGTTAATCGAACAGCAAGTGGCTGATTGCATATGACTTATGTATTTGAGGGGATTCATTATGTAAAGTTGGTTTGTGACAGAATGTAAGTGAAAGTTTTTATTATAAGTGATAACTTAGAAATCTTATTTAATAATTCTGTAGTGCGATGAGTTCCAGCTAGTTTGCCGAGTTAAATGGAATAGAATGACCAATTTTATCATTGAAAGGCCATACACGCAGACTGCATATATTACATAGATGTATGCACCTGCATATGTACATATGTAGCTTTTGTAATCAAAACATTTGATCAGATGGGATCACATGCAAAATGTTAATAATCAATGCCAATTTTTTATATGGTTGTTTATACATATCTATGTACATATGTATATCAATGGCTAAAATTAATCAGAAAGCGATAGCAGAGAAATATAGACAACAAGAGAAGAGTCTCTGCGAATTACGGGGGCTTGACTAATTAATAGTTGCGTTCCAGATGCTTCACGATTTGCAGGTTTTTTACGGGAAGCCGTTCCAGGGGCTTCCATAAGGTGCAAATCGTGTAAAACCTGCCAATCGTGAAGCATCTGGAACGCACTAATGATGTACATAAGTTATCTGCATGTGTTTAACGCATTTGACGTACGATGGTCACAAACTATGAAGAGAATCAAAAAATCACCGATATAATCGAGTTATCATTTACGGCTAAAATCCGCATATACTTTGGACTTTTAGAACATTGCGGACTATGCAAAATCTATGATTAGATATCAGCGAAAAGATATCGCGTGCTCCGCATTATTGGAAAAAATTATTTTTCGCCGGAACCAAATTAAAAGTAAAATTAAAAAAAAAAATGCTGATATGATAATTTCGCGCAAAGGGGTCGATATAGTAATATATACATAGATACCCCTTGCTAAAATTCCAAGCTGTGGATATGTAGAAATGTATGTACATATGTATATACCGAATTATGAGTTTTATCGCCTTTTTTAGGAAACCTATCTGATATACTAAATCCCGAATTTGTCCTTTACCGCATTTTGCATTGATGAAAGTGATGTTCAATGCACACAACATTTAATATATATATGTATGTATTATCTTTCTTCATGTACGTCATTTTAGAATTAGTGTTAAAAGAAGCATCATAATGCAGAGCCAGGCTCAGACCACATCAGGAGCTGAGGCGCCCCCACCTCCCCCAACTCCATCTACTTCTACACGCAATCAACTACGTCCTGTAAAGTATGATTATGCAGATTCTTTCGCTTGCACTTATGTGGTATCAGTAGTGGCCGCTTCCATAGCTGAGTTAACTACATATCCCCTTGATTTAACCAAAACACGTCTGCAAATTCAGGGCGAAGCAGTGAGTGCCGAACCGAAGACAGACAAGGGCGTTAAACCTAAGGTGACTATGTGACACTTCTTTATTAAATGCATAAAATACATATGTAGGTGTCAAAGTTTTTGAATGTGACTGTGTATTTTGGTTAATGCAATCCTTTTTTTTTCGACACGTATGTATGTATGTACGTATGTCTGTATATGAATATTATCGGATTCGAGGGCAAACAAAACCTGTATCACCCATCCTAACCTACATTCATTCCATACATCATATAGTAATTTAATTATCCACCTATAACCATTAGCAAAAAGTGTTTTATTTATATGTTACTATTCGTTTACTCGTAATCCCCAAATGCCACCTGGGGCGCAGTGCATTCATTCTACTCCTCTTACTCTCGTTCTCTCTCCCTGATTCCATGGTGATGTCAACGGATCAAAAAAGCAGTATCGTGGCATGGTTGCGACTGCATGCGGTATTGTCAGGGAAGAGGGCACAATGAAATTGTGGCAAGGTGTGACGCCTGCACTGTACCGCCATGTTGTCTACAGGTATGTATTTAGCGAAAACTTGTTTGCTTTCTCTTAGTAGGATTTTAAAGTCAAGATGTCTTTATATATTTTCAGCGGTGTACGCATATGTAGCTATGACTTTCTACGTCGGAAGTTGGGCAACGATGAAAACGGCCATATTACTTTGCCCCTTTGGAAGTCAGCCCTCTGTGGTGTATCAGCAGGCGCTGTGGCACAATGGCTGGCATCTCCCGCCGATTTAGTTAAGGTACAAATTCAAATGGAAGGGAAACGTCGATTGATGGGCGAGCCAGCGCGCGTCCACGGCGCCGCACATGCTTTAAAGGAAATAGTCCGCCGTGGGGGCATACCTGGCCTGTGGAAAGGTAGCATCCCGAATGTGCAGCGTGCTGCACTTGTTAATCTTGGTGATCTTACAACTTACGATACCATAAAGCGATTGATTATGATCAAACTGAATATGCCAGACTGTCATACAGTACATGTGCTCTCCTCAATTTGTGCCGGATTTGTGGCCGCGATTATGGGCACCCCTGCAGATGTAGTAAAGACAAGAATAATGAATCAGCCTACGGACGAAAGGGGCAGGTGAGTGCAGATTTTGTAATATCGTATAAAAAAAGTAGATTCTAATGGCCTTATTCATAAAAAATAAAGTAGGTCTAAAGAGCTTTATAAATTGACGTTTTCATACATTTTCCAATTCATAAACCTTTTATAAAGCTACTATAGTTTTTATGAATAAGGCCATAATAATATAAAATTAATACACACATAATTTTAAAATTAAGGTATATATTATTAGTAAGTTTTTTTGTCACCAAAATCATAAATAATAACGCTGGTTTACAACAAAAATGTTATGTGGATGCCACTATCCAATTCCTATGTAGAATTGCTCGGTGATTCCGAAAATAGAGTCAATTTTTTTCTATGGATATGTTTTCAAGATATTTTCAATTTGCCGTTATTCTGCTTAAAGCAAAAATTGGTTCCTTTTTATCCCGTATATCTTAAGAACCAATTTAACAATCTTAATATAAAATACGGCAAAAGAAAGCTAATAAAATTCTCCAGAAACCATATATATACATCACTTTCCGATAGGACATAGTTTCTGACAAGTAAATTAATCATTCCATTTTGTTTTATTTTTTAATGAAGAATGAAAAAAATCAAACTTTAACAGAAGAAAAATTAAAAAAGTAACAGGTTCTGTGCCAAATTTTTGCATTTGTGCTAAAGCCTGTTCTGTTACAAAAAAAAATTAAATTACTAATGAAGAAAATCGATGAATAAATAAGAAATAATAATGAGTGGTCAAAAATACGCAGAGTTTTGCATGAAAAATCAGCACGAAAGAACGTTACTCATACGCCACGTACACCTGAGTAACACGCTTTTCTGCTATATANCTGTCACGTAAAGCGAAGCAAAAGTTTTATGTGACATCAGCTTAAGAAATAATAATGAGTGGTCAAATGAAAATACGCAGAGTTTTGCATGAAAAATCAGCACGAAAGAACGTTACTCATACGCCACGTACACCTGAGTAACACGCTTTTCTGCTATATTTTTCATACAAAAAATCTACGCATTTTCATTTGACCACTCATTATTTCTTATTTATCCATCGATTTTCTTCAGTAGTAACTTGCCTTTTGTTTGTAACAGAACAGGTTTTAGCACAGGTGCAAAAACTTGGCACAGAACCTGTTATTTTTTTAAATTTTCCTCTGTTAAAGTTTGATTTTTTTAATTTTTTCATTAAAAATTTAATTAATTTGTCAGAAACTATCAGTCCTATCGGAAAGTGATGTATACATGGCTTTCATTTGCCGTATTTTATATTAAAATTTTTAAACTGGTTCGTAAGATATACGTGATTAAAAGGAACCAATTTTTATTTTAAGCTGAATAACGATAAATTGAAAATATCTCGAAAACGTATCCAAAGAAAAAAAAAATTAATTCGATTTTCGGAATCACGAGGCATTTCTACATAGAAATTGGATAGTGGCGCCTGGAGAACAAAAATCAAACTAAAATTTGTGATCCAGTGTAATTAATAAAACAAATATGCGCGAGGCCAAATGTTATCCATAAAAGAAATAATATCATTGAAGCAAGTTACCAATTTTCATTACATATTTTTGAATTCAGGTTATCTTTTGTTCGTTTTTTTTTTAGGGGATTACTCTACAAAGGCTCTCTCGATTGTCTTCGTCAAACAGTAAATAAGGAAGGATTTGCTGCGCTCTATAAGGGTTTCTTGCCATGCTGGATCCGTATGGCGCCGTGGTCCCTAACCTTCTGGCTGTCGTTTGAGCAGATTCGTAGCATGATCGGTGCTTCTGGTTATTAGTTCATTTTGTGGAACCTTAGTGTACTCATATTAAGTGTTTTATAGGCGTTGCGGGCGTTATTGCAAGCATTCATGCCTTTCTCAAGTGATCGGGATAGTAAAACGTGCTTACAATTGTTAATTTCAGTTTTAAATACGTTGTGCCAATCATAAGTACGAACAAAAGATTTAACATTTTTTCTGTGCATTATTTATTTTCTAAATGTATATTAGACTGCTAACAATTTTGCATCTATTTTGTTTTATATGCATGCACTCTGCTGGAAAATTGAAAAATGTTTACGAAAATCTAAAGAGACGTCAAGTGTTACAACCAATAACCCTGGTCGAAAAGCAGCAACGATATGCTTAACAATTGTCTATTATGTTAATTTATATATGTACGTGTGTCTACTCTTAAAAATGCGACTTTATTTACATATGTACGTCCGCATATGTGTTGATGCTAAGTGAATCAGGAAGGATTGCTATAATTGCTTTTTACTACGTACATATGTACTTAAAGCTGATGATTGAAATACATAATTTATTTGAAGCCTTATACACTGCACTGCAGAGTTTGTTTAAGTAATTCAAGTGACAATATCTTATTGTAAAATGTAAATACAAAATAAATTAAGTTTTTTACACATAAATAATTAATAATCGTTATCATTGCAGCATTTATCAGAGAATACTCTATCTAAAAAATTACAATCAAATTTCTTTTTATTTGATTTTGTTACCGCAACAGTCATTAATTATAAAGGATACAGCTCACAGTTCATCACACCAACACGCAGAAATTAGTGATACTGTTACAAGTTATATATTTCGTTTGATATTTTTGTTTTGCTGAACACCGACTAGAGGAAATACCGTTTACTATTCTAAACCGAGCGCCCAATTTATGCCTTGCACTATGAAGAAAATGAGCGGTTGCCAAGCCACAAGCCACCTAATCCAATCGAGCAAACGACCATAAAGAACATGCGGTCGCTCCCAGCTAGAAATAAAAATCGAGTGAATCTCAGTTAGTATTAGTTAAAAGGTCTTGGCTTATATCGTCGTTTAAAGTACAAAACCGCGTATCAACAAAATGCAAAACCGCGTATCAACCGCGTTATTTTCTAGAAACAAAAACTCATTTGAAAATGCTTCTCTTTTTTATAAATCAATCTTTTCTGGCTGGTATATTTCAGGACGAATTGATAAGGATTGAGCCAAGAGCTTGTGTGAGCAAATCCAATTTTTGGTAGCAATTGTCAGTTAGCGCTTTTGCAGAANGCCAAGAGCTTGTGTGAGCAAATCCAATTTTTGGTAGCAAATGTCAGTTAGCGCTTTTGACGATACGCGGTTTTGTACTTTAAACGAAGATATGAACTTACGGATTGCAAAACATTTTTTTGAGATCGACCTTTTCCTTGCAGTAAGGACATGTCTGCTTTTTACCCACGATGCACCAACCTCGAATGCAGAATTCATGAAAAACATGATTGCAACTCAACTTATATGTGTTTTCAAATAGACCTTCTTCCTTTTCGTTGACAAGGAGTGGATTCCCGCAAATTGCGCAAACATTGTCGTCTAGGTGACGAGTGGGTATGCCTTGCGGAGTATAATACTAATAAAAAAAGAGCGATTTAATAATACAACCACATATTTCCAAAAGCTATAATGCTACCCCAATGTGCACTGCCATCTTTTCCGAACAAATTTCTGATATGTCACGCCCCAATACGCCGATATAAAGCCCATAGAACACGCACATCAGGCCTGCATCCATCCAAACGTTTGGTGCTTTGTTGAAGATAAAGTTAAAGCCTAAAAATGTAGCCATCATCACAATATAGCCACCAATACCCAAGCAATAACTCAGTTGATAAATTAGTAGAAACCATTTGTAGACTAATCTGAGAGATTTGGAATAAAAGATCTTTTACATATGTGCCCGTTTTATTCATAATAACTCCATTAGACTTACCTTGGAGAAGTGCGTTGTATTGGTTTGCTGACTGCTTTTTTAATAACAAAAGCTGTTAATGAGGAAAATACCACCCAAATAATAATAAACCGTATAAAACTGTAAAAGATCGATATCGCTAGTGGTATTATCCACATCGCAAGCAGCGTGATGACCTACAATTGGAATACAAGTATTTTTTCTTAAGTGCATGTGTTTTATCAATATGTTAGAAATACCGAGTAGGATTTGTAATGACGTTTCTTCCACTCCACCAACGACACCTGTGCCACAATAAGTGTTATGAATAGAATAAGTGCCATCTCTGAATGCATAGCTTCATGGCCTTTATGCTTTTCGTGCATGAGTTGATGCTCGGCGCGCATACGTTCTTCAGGGGTCATTTCCTCCAAAGACTGTAATTAAATTCGTATTTCAATGCAAACAGGATTCAATAGCTGAACAAATGAGACACGTACCTTGTTGAAGTCCACGGGGGCATGCAACGCAGCTGCATCCATTTTCTCAGTATTTTATTGGTCTACTAATCTACGTTTCAACTAAACTTAAGACTATCCTTTTTTTGTTAATTAGCGTGCATTTATGATGAATTTTAACATTTCCTAATTCCTTAACGTGTCACGAACTACAAAAACAAATTAGATTCATGTCAGTAAACGTTCACAGTAAGGACCTACCCAAGTATTCACAATAGTGCAGACGTTACCTATGGTTCTACAGAACAAGTAAAAATCGCCTACCAGATATAGNTTCACTTTGTATATTTAATAATAAATACCAATTTAATCGCACTCAATCACCGCGCCTTTTTCGTTTTCTTTGTTTGTTTTCATTCTTAGGCAGATGTCAAAAACACTCAGAAATATACTTTTTTCTTGCTTCTTTGATTAGGTGATCTTGTATTTTTGGTTCATGCTATTAGCCGCGTTCCAGATGCGGCATACCTAAAGAATACGGATCTTTGAGCTAGAGAAAAAAGAAAAAGTGGACGTGGTACACCTCTTTCTGCTGAGTTTAATTATAAACTTTTTATAGGTGCAAATTGAAAATGTTGGAAATTCCACGTTTACCGCCCCCTAGCGCCATCTGTCAATTTGCACCAAAAAAATATGCCGTTAAAATTAGGAAAAGGGGAACGCCACGCCCACTTCTTTTTAGCTTAACGGTCACTATTCTTTAAGTGTTCCCCAGATGCTTCACGATTTGCAGGAAAAGCTCTTTCGCTCACCTGGAAAAGCTTCCCGTAAAAACCTGCAAATGCAAAAAAAATAAGTCATTTGGGGCAACTAAAGAGCGCTATATTTTTTTAATCAAAGGATAAATTTTGTATATGTATTTAATAAAAGCAGAAAATAAACAATCGATGC